GGCGTTTTTCCCTGGGAGAAATTCTACGAGGCTGTAATTTACAGGGTGTGCACATGCCAGGCGCCTATGTTTTCAATAGTGTGGAGCACAGTGAGACTCTTCACGGCTGCAGATGACTCTGGAGCCCATCCGGGAAGACGTGGAACGTGAGGGGGACCCCTCTCCCCGCGGATGGGCTCTGGACCCCACACATCTTTCACAGCCATCTTGTTTCCAATTGGGGGATCCATGCAGAGGATTTCCCCCCTCCCAATTGGAAATGAGGCCATGCCCACCCCCTGCCCGGCCCGCCTGATGAAGCGGCAGTGCATTGCTGGGCGATGGGCATGGCGGGGGAGGGTACGGCGCTGCCCCCTTTCCTCTGGGGCTCTTCTCGCAAGACATGCTGGCTGGCACTGCTTCAGGGTGCCCTGGCCACCGGTTCCTCCATGCTCAGCCCGGCTCCCAGCACCGCGGGTACCCCGTACATTGTCCGTCTTCGGCAGCACGGATGGGCTTCGGACCCCACACATCTTTCACAGCTGCCTCGTTTCCAATTGGGGGGTCCATGCAGAGGATTTCCCCCCCAACTGGAAACGAGGTGGCTGTGAAAGACAAGGCAGCGCTTTGTCAGAGTGAGAACACTTTCCCGCCATTACGAAGTCTCTGAGGGTGTAATTGTACTGGGAGTGCACATGCACCTCTGTTTTCTATGCCATGGAGCCGTGGCGACGCTCTGCGTGGCTGGTGATGAATCCGGAGCCCATCCGCGGGGGGTTTCGAGGAACACGAGGTGGACTTTAAAGTTTAGAGTTCCGATGGTTTTAGCGACCCCTATGAAAAGTTCATTCGACCCCAAAGAGGTCACAACCCACAAGTTGAGAACCACTGCTCTACAAGAAGAAACAGACTTTTTTCAGATTAAAGCCACTACTGTTTTAGGATACTTTAAACTGGAGCTTACCTTTCTATGCTTTCTGATCTGGGATAGACGGCTTCTGAACTCCAAAAGCAGTGATAAATATATTGACAACTACTATAACAAACACCAGTCCAGTGGCAAGGTTATTGAGAAAGTCCAGCCTGGCATGTTTTGCAGGATTATTAAGGTCATATTTAACTAGAAGGAAAGAACAGTGACAGAGATTATATTCTCACTAACGAGCAATTACTTTTGGAAATGAAGAAGTCAGCGTGAGGAATTAACATTTCAAAATTGCATGCCAAAAAGATTTTTAATTAAAAAGACGTGCAAAAAATGATTATATGAGCATGAGGATACTTTTTAACCTAAAAAAAGGGGGATTTCCACATAGTAATAGATATACTTGGTATATGGTAGACTATGGTATACTATTATCACATGGTAATCGTTATTTTTCAATCAACCTGCTGATTGAAATAAAATACAAGAAACACTGAATTCAGTAGCCATAAGAAACATCGTTAAGTGAACTGCATTTATCAATCAGAACAATATCTTTACACAATTGAAAAACAATATTACCAGTGGTGGGTTCCTACCAGTTTGGCTGAACTGGTAGTCATTTGGCGGCCTGGGTCATTGAAACTGGCAGCGACCCAGGCTTGCCATGTCCCCGAACCAGTTCTCCAGGTGGCGCCATGGGCACACCATCTTGTTTTTGGCTTCTGTGCATGTACAGAACAATTTTTATTGCAATGTGCATACATGTATTCATGAGCAAACCAGCAGTAGTGCCTGCCAGAACCGAACCCTGAGTATTACATATATGAATACTTATTCAGTCTATTATTATTTTCCTGTCCAGAAGTGGAAAACTCTTTGGCAGCCCTCTAATCCAACACTTCCTTTTCACTCCTTCCTACTCAGACTTATTCAAAGAAGGATGAAGAAAAGATGCCGGGATGTCTGCATGCAATATACACTTAAAGAACAAATCAATCACACCCTCCAGGCCAACATCTTCAATTCTTTGGCTATATATACTGCCGACAACCCTGAAATAAATTAATTTGTTTTAAAGGACCAAACCTCCCTCCACTTATTTTCTGGTTTCAGAAATGAACTTCTTTGTGGATAGTCAAGGAAACAATCTGCCAGGCTCTACTATCATCAACTCCTTTAAAGATGAAGGTAAAGGCTCCCCTTGCACATATGTGCTAGTAATTCCTGACTCTAGGGGGCGGTGGTCATCTCCGTTTCAAAGCCAAAGAGTCAGCACTGTCTGAAGACGTTTCCATGGTAATGTAGCCGGTATGACTAAATGCCTAAGGCGCACAGAATGCTGTTACCTTCCCACCAAAGGTGGTCCTTATTTTTTTCTACTTGTACTTTTACATGCTTTCAAACTGCTAGGTTGGAAGAAGCTGGGACAAGTAACGGGAGCTCACTCTGTTACGCGGTGCTAGGGATTCGAACCGACAAACTGCTGACCTTTCTGATCAACAAGATCAGCATCTTAGCCACTGAACCACCGTGTCCCACTCATCAACTCCTTTACTCAACTGTATTTTCCCAGGACTGTCCTGCCATGGAGCAAACCCAGAAAACAGTGCAGCTTAAAAGGTGCCAACAGGTACAATGAGTGCCCCCCCCCCACTAAACCCACCCCAAGCAACTTTCCCCCTTCAGATGTGAATCACAAATCCCAGGATTATGCAGACTTTCAGAGCCACTTCACTAGACAATGTCTAGGTTTCCCTCCCTCTGAAGAGTGTTTTATTTCCCCTCCTCTTTTGACGGTTTGCTATGCTGTTATAATATGCCACACTTTGTTGTTAATATTATTGCTATAATAGTATGTTGAGAATTTCTGCCTCTATTCAATGAATATTCCATGTTTTAATTTTGTTACTTATTAAAAGGTATTTGAATTAAAAAAATAACATTTACAGGAAATACAGACTGAAAACCCCATAATTAATCTAGTTCTAGCGCAAGCGGGGGATTTCTTTTCTTTGTTCCATTAAGCAAAAGACTTCCCAGCTAACCCTGAGGGTCAAAAGTGCATTTGAAAATAGGGCCACTTTGAGGGTAAAGGATGAATTCTGTTCATACCTTGCGCTGTGTTTCCTAGTTGTGACACTTTCTTCCTGCATGAAACCAAAAGAACTAAAAAGTGGAAGTGAGCTTCATGAAATTCAGAAGCGTAAGCATAAAAGAATCACCACTCTTACACAATGCATTTTCCAGGAGCCAGCACTACAGTTAGATTAACACATTCAGGTATTTTCCCAGGCTTTGGGGGAATTCTTTGGAAAGGAATACCCACCAGTGGCAGTAAGAGGCTTTCAAATCAAGCGACTCATCCGGTTTTAGAGCTGACATGTAGCTATTTCACCATAGTAATGGAAATGTGGATTATTATTTTTTAAATGCAAGTTTCAGTATGAACAAATCTGAGTTCTAAGCTTTCAGAGGGAATAACAAATATGCGATATAAAACTGAACTTGAAACTGTTCTTATATATGGGGAAATGTTAAGTTTTTTATTAGAGCATTTCCTCTCATTTTATGTAGGCTAAACTATTCATTTCCCCCCTTCAATTCAAAAATAAAGCTTTTGAAATTAATATAGGATTTTCTGCTGATAAAATCTATAGCAGGGGAACTAGGGGGAATTTTTAAAAAAAAATCAGGTTAATGATAATATTCTATCCCTTATTTTTACATCTCTCACAATGCACATAAAAAGGGGGCAGGTCTTTTATATCACTGGCACAGCTGCCCTTCTAAATGTTACATACACACACACACACACACCACACACACCCCTCCTGATTTATAGTGCATCCAAGAGGAAACTTTCCACACATTCTCGACTTGAATGGTAAATTTTTCATTTGTGCTGTCCAGTGTTTTTCTTTAAACATTAATCTGGGAAAGAAGTTGTGACATTTTCAAGTGGGCTAAAGTTCATTTGATCTCATGAAGACAGCAAACAAGATCAGTTCCTCTCCTCCTCTGGTTTTCTCTCAGCCTGTAAAATAGGGAAGTTGAGAGGCATACACTGTTCCCAGCCCTCACAACCTAAAAGGCAGAAGAAAATAGAAGGGAAAACATATAATCAAACTGCAGAAACATGGACTTAGAACATGATCAAAGGAAGAAACTGTAGACGGAGAAACAAGAGGCAGAAAAAAAAACATTCTGGTAGTGAAGCTGACAGCTTCCTTCCTCCCTTTTTACCCTATAATTTACAAGGCAGTGTCCTCTAAACAAAGTAACCAAGAAAAAAAAGCAAAAGAAAAAGCTACCACTGTATATCTCAACATGATAATGCACAACAATCAATGCAAGAAACATCATTCATATTGTATTCCTATCACTGTCAATTGTATCAATCTCCTATGCTCAACCTGCCTTGGTACCAGGAATCTCTCACCACTGAGACCCTGTTAGGGCACAAATGTTTCATCCCTTCACAGCCCCTTGTCTTCTGGATATTTATAAAGTGTTCAAAATTCATGTTTCACAGAATGCATTAGTATAGATATAGAACATTTCTTGTAAGAATTAAAGCAGCCATGTCCTCCAAAAACACTCTTTTGATGTCTAAGTGTGGATATGTGGCACAGAAAACATTCCCACAGAGACTGCGTTCATATCTAAGTGGAGTTATTTGTGACAATGAGGGAATTTAACGCTGTCTACATCAAAGAAGGCACAGGAACTAACAAGCTAGAAACCTCCAGAGGATAATATTTCCACATACAATTATTGTAGTTGATCCACCAAGCAAGAAATTGGACTAGATAACTACTGAGACACCTTCTGTGACAATATTAGACCACAAAATAACAACAACAACAACCCAAATAGTGGGATATAATGATAAAAAGTATGAAGATAATTACGTAGTGGAGAATGAAATCTATAAGGCAGGCAAAGGACGGTTAATTTTAATTATCTTTATCTTTTAAAATACTTGACATCTCACATAGTGTAAGTGGTAATAGAACTGATCGATAGGAGAGCAACTTTAGATTCTAACTGAACTGGTGCACAAGATTTTAGATAAAATGTGAGTATCGTTCAACCAACTGGAAACTAATCACAGTGCTATTTGATCTATAAAATTTATTCTGAAAGTGAAATGTTTAAATAAAGAGAAGGTTGGCAAAAAAGAAGTGGAAAGAATAAGACCAAAGAGCTTTCTTTCAAAGATACATTGAGGTTACTCAGAGCCAGAATAACACACGTTCATTTATGCTGAAAAGGCAATGCCTAAAAGGTTTAAGAAAGGGCAAATGAGATGAGGTAAGACTATTTTCTATAGCATAGTAGAAATATATCACTTTATTTACTAGGCAACTGGCCAATATAATATCAACTTTTAAAGTGTTCCTGGTCTTTTATTTTATTTTGACAGACGTTTCATCATCTAATCTGGTGGCACATGTATAAGTGCAGTATTGTAGGCTAACTCTGCCCATAGCCTGAAGTTTGAACCTGATGGGACTCAAGGTCGAAAAAAGTCAGTGAAAGAGAAAATACGTGTTTATGAAAATATGTATGAGGTTAATGAAAAAAATAAATCTTCCAGTAATTGATGTCTAGATTGTCAGGATTCCAAGTAACACCCCTAACGAAAGAAGACTCCAAGGCTTGAGGTTCCTCAAAGTTCCATTTTATTAGAAATGTGATATTGGCACATCTGGGAAAACCCAAATCTGAAAGCTTCCAGGTTTTCCCCACCAAAAAGAAAGTTCAAAACCCTGCCCAACACCCACATGTCCATCACAGGATCCAATCAGGCACCATCCATACTGGAGATGCCTCTCAGTCACCACATCACAGCTGCAGGACAAAATGGCATTGACTTTCAGAGAAAGCATGTTATTTTGGCTATGTATCACCCACGCTCTGTACAATCCCTCCCTCCCATTTTCCCACAGTAGAAAGTGTGGCAGGCCTGAAATCCCAAAGATAAAAGATGGCTTCCACCATCTGACATAGATTTTCCTTCAATATAAGACACAGAGTTTGAAAAGTATGAGTTGGAGAGGACAATCACCTTTATGCTCTTCTTGTGGTCTCTCATTAGTATCTGGTTAGCTCATATGGAAAAAGATTGCTGAATCTGAAAGGCCTTTAGACTGATTCAGCAATATATTTTGCACAGGTTCTTGAGTTATGTCACTACAAACTATTGGCATATAAACTATATCTTTATTACTGCCTGCTTCCAGCACTGGATGACTACGTTTCATTTCCTAATACAATACTATTTAATATATACCCGCAAAGAAAACTATGTATGTGTATAGAAAATGACAGTGTACCTAAAATACTTGTTACAATTTTCTGGTAGAAGACAAGTATAATTCAGTTTATACATTGGGTTAAAAATGTTATTCTTAGGTTTCTATGCAATTCCTGAGCTAAAAATTACTTCTTGGACACAAAAGTAAATATCTATAATCTTGTACCAAATGTATAATTTCCCAGAGCAAATGAATGATAATCTATGATCCCTGGAAAAAAAAAAGGTTATGTTTTAGCCTCCAATTCCATAGAGCTGATGATTATATTACAATTCCAGTCCCCGTTTGACCACCTAAGGAATTTGACTAAATGCGGGAAAATGTTTACCAGTTCTGTTCTGGGGTTCACTTTTCACCTGCCACAGAATGCTCCAAGACAATCTGTGTTGGCCTGACAAGGAATAATTCTTTCATTCAAGTCTTGGTGGTGCAGTGGTTAGAATGCAATATTGCAAACTAACTCTGCCTACAGTATGGAGTTTGATCCTGATAGGCTTGAGATTGACTCAGCCTTCTGAGGTCAGTAAAATCCAAATTGTTGGGGGCAATACGCTGACAGTGTAAACTGCTCAGAAAGTGCTGTAATGTACTATGAAGAGGTATATAAGCCTAGGTGCTATTATTGCTATTCAAACTATTAACACTGACTTGGAAGGAAAAACTTATGTTCTTGATGTAGTCCCTATAGCTGCCATAAGTCCTTTAAGTTTCTAAAATGTTGGTTACTGTTTTTGGCTCTCCCTCTTATAGTAGGAGGGACTACTATCATGTTTAATTAATAATTCCATCATATGGGACACTATACAAATAAAAGTTAAAATGTCACTCTGCACTCTGTTCAGATTGCTACTTTGAATAACAATAACAATAACAATAGCACCTAGACTTATATACTTCTCCATAGTATTTAACAGTACTTTCTGAGAAGTTTACAATGCCAGCATATTCAAATGTTCATACTGAACTCTGAAAATGGGGATGACAAATCCTACAAGAAATCTGAGAAAATATTGGGAGATCTTTTCTCTCCAATGAGAAATGTATTATTTTCCTGAAAGTTAAAGATTATGAAATTCATTGTTCACAATGCAAAAAAATCTTTGAAACAAGGCCTTTATGTACTTATGTATTATTAGTGGATGATTACTCATACCAAATGATTTCACAGAATTACATAATTATGAAGACTATATATATACAATACGTCTTTATGTAAGAATCTATTTATTCCTCCTCCTACATACTAGAAATAAGCAGTACACTACAACTCTCAAATGTGTTATTCTTTTGAAAAGGATTACCATATCCTAGAGATTAGCGTGATCAAGATCCTACCAGCCTTTGGCAAATTGCTGAAGGCTTGGATGAGCTTCAGAATATGGGAGACAGGAGGTTGAGTGGCCCATGAGACAAGATCTTATAATATTGTAGCATGTTTGTTGTATTTGTTCTTGGTAACCACTGAAGGAGTTTTTAAAAAAAAATGTTTTGTTGACATTATGGGGCAGGCATGACACTCTTCCTTTTAGCTCTTTGGGAATTAAGAATGAAACAATGTGAAATATATGTCCCTACACTTCACCTCCATAGTGATGGGGAAAAAAACTAGTATTCATGTGTGCAGAGAGTGGAAACTGGCTCTGGCCAGACAGAAGGTACCACATGAGGCAAGGCATGACCAGCAGAAGAGCTTGGAAGAACCAGCAAGCTGAGTGCCACTAACTAATCAGTGTAAAACTAGTTTGCCCCTTGCGGTACACTAAGGACGAGCGCGCAAACGCCGAATGAGATGATTTAGCAATTTATTTCAAGAGGCAACTGTACTTTCTTGTTTTTCTTTGAAGACGTTTCATTTTTCATCCTGAAAAAGATTCTTGGATGAGAAGGGAAACGTCTTCAAAGAAAAAACAAGTCATGTTGCTTCTTGGAAAAGCACCTTTGGGGACAACCATGACCTGGATGACTGAGAATCTCCATAGAACTAGCAATCTAGGCTGTCAGGACTACATTGTGTCTAGCATGTAAATATTTCCCATACGCTAAATAAATAACCTCCACAGTTATATCCACAGGGAAAGTAACATCTTAAAAAGCCTAATAAAAAGGTTTATTTTTAAATCTGAGGGTATAAAAAGGGAGTTGGCTATAAAACACTTTTTAAAAAAAAATCGCTATTAAAATGGAAACAGTGCCATCAGCAGTTATGATGTGGCACAAAATAAGCAATGATTTAGGTTGCCATACATACCAAGGAATATTAGGAGCACGCCAACTGCAATCTGAAGTGCGAGTGAGATGCTGATGAGAGTGATCAGGGGAGCATAGAATCCGAAAGAGGGTCCTTGCTCCATCACCGCTTTCAGCTGGGATGCGTTGGCCATGAGCAAAGCAATATCCAACATGCTTTCGGCTGCACTCTTCTTATTGGCATAATGGTTCATGTTAATTTGTCTATTTGTCCGAGGCCACTGTCTTCTACCCTGAAAGGCAAAAAAATATTTCAAAGGAATTTATCAGCAAGGATTCAGATAGCACTCTAAACACGATAGGGGTAGGGAAATTAATAACTCTTTCAAATTAGTTACATGTTTGTTTGAAATTGTAAGAACTTTCCACAGGGGCTGAAAGTAAAAAGGGAACAGTTCAGATTAAGGAGATATAGCATTGGCCACTGCACATTATATTGCAATATTTTAAAACAGGGGTCCCCAACTCCCGGCCCACAGGTGTGTACCAGTCCTCCTTAGCCTATCTGGAACTGGGCCACGCAAGCCGTGGGCGTGTGAAACTTCATTTGTGCATGCGCTCCTCTCCCCCCCCCCTCCGGTCTCCGGAGCCAGAAATGTTGAGTACTCCTGTCTTAAACATTCTCATTAAAAATATATTCAAATGGATGGAAGAAGAGAGGAAAAAAAACATGTAGCATTAACAGCAGGAATATAACTGAGTCTAAACATGACATATGTTCGGGAATTGACAGGAAACAGTTTAAGTGCCCATGCTTTAGCATTTTTTTCTTTTTCTCTAGTTTAAACTATCTTGTTACTGGGAGGGGGGGAATAAATTTCTTTTCTAAACAGTTTTTTAAAAATATGTAAAATCAGAATATATTTCTGATCATTCTCTTGAACAACTTAGGTTACGGTTTAGCCAGTAAACATTAAGATTTAGCAATAGCATATTACTAAATACACAAAAAGCCGGGCCAAAAAGCACTTCCTATGGAGACAAACATGTTTCCAAGTTTCCTCACTTACATCAGTTTCAAAAGAATTTTTACAGATTCACTTTACTAAATTAACCATTTTACTAGGATAGAAAAGTTACACAAGAGCATCAAATGTCTATTGAGATTTTCAGTCATCCAAAAGTTGTCCCAAAAGTGTTTTTTCAAAAGGCAAACAGGACTTTCTGGGTTTCTTTCTTTTTTTTTTTTAACATTTCACTTCTCATCCAAAAAGTTTCTTCTGCTCAGAGCCAAAGCAGCTTCTTGGATGAAAAGCGAAACATCTTCAAAGAAAAACCAGAAAATCCAGTTGTCTCTTTAAAAAGCACCTTTGTGACAAGAGCATCAAATCAAATATTTAAATAGCAGGTCTCATTTGAAAAGGAAAAAAAAATACTGGATGCCCAGCTAATGTTTTTTGTGGTAGTGTTTTGAGGATAACTAGTTGCTGAAATGACCTTTCCCCCATGTAACACTTTCTTCCATATTTATTTTCCATGTAAGCTACAAATTGCTCCACATGTTTATATAGTAAATCTGCTTGAGAGTTACATGGTATAAAAAACAGTGAAATAATTGAAACGTTAGCAATGTAGTGCAGCAGCAATATTAATGAGTGGGGGGAAAAAATCCCCATCTTAATTCTGTTCTTTTCCCACAGTCAAATAGAGGAAACAGGCATGTTGTAATATCCTTTTGTCAGGAATCTTGTTTCCGATGTATTCTATTTGTAACTGATAAGAGCTATGAAAATAAAGGATTAATCCAGCATACTAGCACCAAATAGCACTAAGAGTAAAACATGCAAGAATAAGGTATCACCAGCATGTGCAATTGTCCGAAAGAACAAATGGTGGCAGATAAAGATAGTCCTTGACTTACAGGCCACAATTGAGCCTGGATATACAGCCATAAGTCATTGGGATCATTAAGTGAAGCACCCACAATGACCACAATCCTGGCCCTACTTCTTGTGGTCATTAAGATAAATGTGCAGGTTGCTACCCAAAACACTTGGAGCCTCAGAGGATGGCTGAGGACTATTGGCACTTACTGAAGCTGGGTTAAGCCTGACTTCTGCACTCAAGAAAATATTACTTTTCTTTTTCATTTCTTTTGGCATTTTTCTTTTCAAAGTGACCTGTTGCTATGTAATTACTCTATATACGCTTAGAATATTGTCTTTTTAATAGTAAATTTATTTTTAAATCAAGAAATGAAAATGAAAAAAAGAAAAATAGTTCTGATGTCAACAAAAGCCCATTAACGGTTACCAGAAATAACAGCATATCTATTTTAACCTTGATCAAATAAACCAAGTTTATATTTCTTCTTTTTTCTTTTTTTTACTTTTAACAATCTTGATTTTTGGTCCCTTCATATGCCCTAGAATTTGATTTCTTTTTATTTTTTTGTTTGTCCTTTCTCACAAAATTTTTCAAAGCTTTAACAAAGTCTCCAACATAGGAAAATTATTCAGGACGCTCTCTTGGTTTGTCATTTGTACAGCCCTTGTAATTATTAATAGCAGGGGTTAGCAGGGTTTGCTGGAAGACCTCCAAGGTCCCTTACAATTCTATTATTCTGAATTGAGTAAGAGTTTGCAGACAACCAGATTTGAAGGGCAAACTGCTACACATATTTTTCCAGGGTTTCTTGGCAGTTGTGCATGACAACCTTGTTAGTATAGAAAAAGACAAATCTGCTTCAACAAGTTCCCAAAGTTGATATGTGTTCCCCCATATGCATTCTAAATCACATTTAGCTTTTTGAATCCAGATCTTTGCAAGGTTCTGGTTTTTATACGCCTGATGAGGCAGCAAGAAAAGATGTAGAGATCTTTTCAATGAAATGAGAGTATATATCATGACTGGATTCTCCCTTTTCCTCCAATACATTTTTCTGCACTACTATTTGGCATTCTCTGTTAACATTCCCAGTTGAATCCTGAATCATGAGCAAGGGCTTAGACTCAATGACCTCCCAACTCTGTCATTCTATTATTCTGTTAAACTCACTTTCTCTTTGGGGGATTTTACAGCTTATTCACTAGCAACATTTTTGAAACAGTAGCTTTATATAACTATTTTATTGCCCTTCAAAGTATGCCTATTATTTACCACATTTGCCATATTTTACTCCTAAACTTTCACAAGTGTCATTATGATAAAGTCTATTGTAAGAAGGCACAGTTCTAATTGGTATTAGGCTTGTTTCCATCAAACATTATTTTATGAGGTCAGAATTAAAATCATGTTGAACTCAAAAAATTAGCATTTTACCATTCAAAATTTAATGCAATAAATGCAATTATTGGAATTATGCACCAGAAATATGTGTAAGTATTCACAAGACTGCTTTTGCAATCAAGATAAGTTTTAAAATTTAGGCAGAATATAGTTTCCCTATTTAAGACACATATTTAGAATTGCACAGGATATTGCTTCAAGGGAGTATTCCCCCAACTTCCACAACTTTCCAGCATTTCAGAAAAAAAACACCATGTAATATTTTTTCAATATATTTATCAGAAAATCCATTAGGTGTAGAAAAGAGCAACAGTGAGAAAAGGGTTTGTTTATTTAATATTTTAGGTGGAGTTTAAGTGTTAAACCACAGTGAGAAATTTCATCATTGAGCCTATTGCTAATGTAAATACTGACCTTTTAATATTAAAAGCATCATTTCATGCTTTTTCCCCTAGACTACAGGTCTCTGCAAAAACTCAGGTCTAGCGTGTATGAATAGTAACTTTGTAGGTTAAGATGAAAATGACTGTGTGCCACTGAATAAGAGCCATAAAATGAAATATTGGTCTTTTATGAAAGAAACTTTGTTTAACTCAAAGCAAGGGCATTGAAGGAGGATTCGTATATTCCACCAAGCACTTTCTTTGGATTCATCCTACTATAGTACTATGTAACACTGCCTTGAAGACTCTAGTAGGTTTGTCTGCCATATTGAGGGCAACACTGAAAATAGGCTTTTAAGGGTGAAATTTAAGTCTCTGAAAGACTCAACCTACCATCACCCATCTTCTTCCCAAAGGATCACATCTATTTAGCGCCATTGATTCTGGTTTAGTACAATCTGTGAAATGGCTTTAATATATATTTTCAATGGGGCTTTTGGCTTGCTTCAGAAGGCAAAGCACCCATTGTAAAGAATCTTGTAGAATTTAGGCCTATATATATTTTATTTCCTTCTTTGGTTCCTTCTTTGTTCTTATCTCAAAGGAATATATTAGACAAACAAAATGAAAATCCCTTTAAGTACACTAATGTAATTTAAATGGGAATTCTAAGTTGTTTAATTGCCATAATTAACTGCTTCTCAGGATTTAAGTCCATTTATATCTACTTTTCACCTAGATATTTTAACACGCTGTGAGAGCAAGAAAGGGCTGTTGTTAGGAATTACACTATCAACACCATACCTAAATATTAGGCAGACATTTTCATTTACATAAAAACCCATTAAATGTTTAATCAAATTCTACTCTGCAAAAAATGTCTTTTAATGTTTTCCTCTCTGCAGAATATGCTTTATAAGACATGAGGACATCGAAGCTCCTCAACTACAAAATGCCAAATTGACAGTTTTTCTACACGATTCCTTCATCACAAAAAGGAAGTCGAAAGTAGCCTTCACAAAAATGGATTATTTATTCCATCACAGATGACGCATCACCATTGTATGATTCCCCCCCCCCCCCACGTGGCACAATTTTCATGCCTGGACTAAGTCATTTTATCCTGAAATAGGACAGTTCCACAATTATATGACAATATACAGTATATTCCATGAAGAATCCCCCTCACTGAGACTGTTTCCAGCTGTTAAACTTATTACAATGAAGAAACCCTTTAGATAGGATTATCAGATGTCTAAATAGGCAAAGGGAAACATTGACAATTGGAAAGGAGAATAAATGGGGAGAAAAAGGAGGAAATACTAACTATTTAACCCTTCATGGCATCAAATTACAGTGAAAAACTGAAAAAAATGCACTTAGACCTACATGTGGTATATGAAATTACATTTTCCAATATTAGAAAGGCTGGCTTTTCAATCATAGGAATCTACCAGACCAAGTAGGACGCAAAAGATCAGAGCTTGTTAACTTTCCTGAAGAAAACCTACCTACTGAAACAGCTGGACAATATTTGATTTTAAGACTAAGCCTAGCAGACATGTCCTCCTTTTGCCAGAAGGCTGGTAATCCCCAATTCCAAATTTGGCCTTTGAAGCTTC